GCTTCCCCATCTCCCCCCCCCCCGCCCCGCCAGTACTTGAACTGCACTTTTAATCCAACGTACCCACCAGCAGGCTCCACATTTAAAAAACAAAACCAAAAAAAACAGCTGTGTAATCTTAAGATCTTTACTAGGTCTGTCATGCTTCAGTTAACTATGCAAGTGTCTCATAAATTCTCTGTGCTTTGTGTAGCATGAAATATCACCATCTCTCTAGACTGTTCAACCTCTGAAAGGTGACAGGCTCAGGAAATCTGGGGCTGTGACAGCTTACCAGTCAAATCGACCATGTTCTGACTCATGGACTCAAGAAGGTGAAGCATTCCTATAACTCAGCCCTTCATCTTCTCCCAAACTATAGCTCTGGCAGGACAGCCTTGTCACCTAAAACCTTCTACTCTGCATGAAGGAATGACTTCACATTTAGCCTTGAGTTATGCTTTCTCTGGTATCTGAGAGGGCTGCAAGCCCATTTATGTATTTTTCATAAACAAAGAAATACTCTTTTATTTGAAACAAACAAATGCTTGTGACTATAAAGATAACTTCCTGATTTTTCTTGTTTGATAGGTCAGATCCTAAAACTAGTCATTTATTATAATGGAGCTGTTTTCCTCTCTCCTCCATCACAACTTGATGTCCAAGGTTGTAGACGAGAGTCCAATGAGTGGTTAACTTTAGACATGCATATGTAAGCAAATGGAGTAAACCACTGAAAACTAGAATTGGTTTTGGCAGCATGCATCTCTGCCTGACTGACATTTGGTCACCTGAGAATGAACTCAAGTCAAAAATGTTCTACTGTATCATATAGGATTCATAACCCCTTCAAAGTCCACATCATGAATTTTGCTATTGTTATTGGTTTAACATTGAGGATTATCAGATACTCCAGTGATGAGTATGTCCTGGGTACAACTATAAACTGCAGCCAACTGGAGGGCCTGGTGGCAACATAGTAGGGATACTCTTGGCAGGTAGTTCCTATAAAATACCACAATGTTGCAACCCCAAAGTAAGGCAAATATAGGGTGCCTCAAAACCCTAAACTCCACTACCTTATGGGTATTCCTTGGTTGGAGAAAGACTACGGGACATCACCCTGACAGAAAAGCATTCTCGCGGAGGCCCTAGGCAGTCAGTAGCAGCTCTAATCTGTTGCTCTCTGGCAGAAGTTACAACCATCAGGGCACTGAGCATTTGGACTTGGTTTGGCCTTTGGCCTCTTGTCTCAATGGTCTCAGGGGAGGATGGTAGGTCTTGGGCACCCTCCACTCCTCCATACTCTTGTGTATGCATCAAAGATCTTTTTGTGATGGTCACAGAACTGTGTACAAGCAGATTCATCAGGCACCTGACCAGACCTCTTACACATACACTGTGATCCAGATGATTGATGGTTACCTACTACAGTGATGAGCAGAAATATAAAAAAAATAGACAGATAGACCCTGTTTAAGTCAAATCATGATTAAATATTTGTACATGCAATCTACAGATTAGGACGTCCTAGGCTGCTAAATGCTGGAAGCTGTAAAGGAAGAGGAACAGATCAGTCTGGATAGGCCTCTTTTTCTTAACATCCACCATCCACCAACATCCCTCTGAATCTAGCCTGAATAGTCCTTACATTATGGAGTAGTTTCCACTGCTTTCCCCCTGTTCTGTGGATAAACTAAGGGTTTTAATCTTTATACTTCTCTCCATCTGGGATCATTCATGAACTTCACATTTGGTTTTTTTTTAAGAAGCAAATTAAATATTGTCTAAAAAAGAAGTTATAAAATGTTGCTGGAATAAAGACAAACATGTATGCAAAAAGTCACCAGAAACCTGTTATGTCAAAACTTTTTTATTAAAGACACATCCTCAGTAACAAAATGCTCAGTATTCTTTAATGTCTCACTTGCCTGAATAATATTTTTTCAAATTCCTTGTAATTTAAAATTTTCTCATCTTTAATGTGTATTAGCATAGTTGGGCATTTAAAACCTAATTCTGAAGTGATGCTCTTTCATCCCTATAACCCTTTCCTCAGTTCCTGCTGTACAAACCATACCTGGCTTTTTAAAAGAATGCAAGTCTAAACAGATACTAGCTTGCTAAGAGCCCATACTTTCCATTTCTGAGCACCTGGGTGCCAAAATTCAAACTGCAAATTATAGAGGGACATTAACAACTGAACATGTTAATAATAACAGTGCTGCACAAACAGTCATTACTCCTCACAATAGATCTGTGGTGTAGCCAAGCAGCTCCAGACCCATTTTTCATAGAAGAATATCAGTAAAGAGACAGAAATCACTGCCTTATTAAAGGCCACATCACAAGTCAGTAGTAGAACCAGAACCAGCTTCTAGAGCCAGGAGATCCTAGCTCCTAGCTAAGGTCTTCCTGTCATCAGTGCTGCATTTTACCTTTTACTTTATTAGTGTGTCTTACAGGAGTCTCCAGTCCTCAGAAGCTCTTGGCTCTGCCCTTTGCTTTGAAGTATCCTCCACTGTTCTATTTTCCCTTTCTTTTCCTCTCTCTATGAAACAGTCTATCTATTTGCATTATTACATTTACCAATGGGATATATTTGACTCTCACAAATCTTCATCTCATTATTTTTACAGGTTAGTGCCACCACTTCTTGAAGCTGCCCAAGTCCTCCCATCATAAGACCCTGTTTTCAGCTGCACATAACTTCGATGACTTTGCCAAGCTGTAATTGTTTGGGCTGAAATATTCTAGGCTACATGGCTGCCAAAATAATTTAAACAGCTTAGACATTTTCAAGAATGGGACATGTTAAAAAATGTTTGCCCACGTTAAAAAATTCTGCCAGCTTTTTTAGAGACATTCTTGTACACTCATACTTTGGAGCAGGGACTTTAAATTTGGCAGTGGGATGCCTTTTTAAGTAAGTAACATCCTTTATGCCATCTATATAAAAATATGGTCCCCTCATTAAGCCAAGTTATGAGCTTTGGGAAAATCACAGTTTAGGCATACTGTCTGTGTCTACATGAGACACTGACTGCTCACTCATTACTGCACAGTCATTTAGTACTTGTAAAGTAATCAGAGTTACTGCGCAGTAGTGCTGCTGAATGTTTTTTCCATGATGCTGACTGTACAGTAGCTCGTTACTACTGCACAGTAGCACTGCATCATGCTTCTTGCCATACAACACTACTGCATAGCAATCACGAGCTACTGCGCAGTCAGTGTCTCATGTAGAAACAACCACTCTAAGATTGCACCAGCTACATTCCCTGAAGATGCTTTTCACCATGACCATACTCCATCCCAGAGCTGAGCAAGACTTTCCCCTGCAACAGCATCTCTGGGCTGGGCCAAGTCTCAGTAATGGAAGGGAAAGCAGAGCAAGTCTGTCTATCCTCTGCTTTCAAAGATTCCTGTATGGGACCTCAGCAATGTGTAGAAGGAAGTATCTGTTTTGAACACAGGTGAGAAAAAAGCCAAGCCAGCAGGGGCCAAGGAAGGGACATGATATTTAAATTGGTACAGGGATCCTGAGGGCAAGAATGGGGCAGGAAGGCAGAAGAGTAAAAGGAATCTGGGGGTGAAATTTGGTTCTGCAAGAAGACAGGGGATGGGAGCCCAGATGGAAGATAGGGAATCAGAAACCTGTGGAGCTGAAAGAGAACAGGAGCCAACAGGTGTAGAGAAGACCGATGGATGAAACAGACTGGGACAAAAAAGGAGATGCTGAAAGTGGGTGGGCTTGGGAAAGGAGACTGGAACTATGTGTTAGTGGAAAAGAGGAATAATGAGGGAGCGATTGACTGAAGGCCAAGAAAAAGATGCTTCAAGAAAAAGATTCTTTGAGAAGCTGGAAAGGGAGAAACAGGGGCTGATGGAGGACAAGGCCTATGCAGGATAGGAAAGACTGGAGTAGCTAGACAAGGAAATGGGGAGTGACAGCTGAGGATGGGAGAAATACTGGGAGAGGGACAGGGAATCCAGAGGTGTGAACCAAGACATGGTAGGAAGAGAGACTGTGATTAGGCTGAAGAATAGAGCATAGGGCCGAATAGTTGAATGGAATGGAACTGAAACAGAGCCAAAAGTGGAGAAAAGAGGAATGAGATTGGATGGAGGAAACTGGGCCACCCTTGGGGGGAGAAAGAGCAGAAGAGTCTGTATAACTAGAAGCCACATTCTTCCAGGGTCTGAAATGGAACCAATGCTCCTGCTGTCAGCAAATATCTGTGAAAATCCATCAGCAAAGTGCCCCTAATCTCCCTAATGCTGATTTGTAGAGGATGACAGCCAGCTATTTTAGCTTGCTTTTACAATAACCTAGGAAATTATGCCCACAAAAAAAGACACAAAGTAAACAAAAATTACAAAGTCATGCACGCAAAAAATTAGGAAAAGT